ATGTAAAGTAGTAAACACGTAATCAAAAACATCATTTTGGACGTACAAAACTCATAACAGATTTAAATATAAAAAATGCATTAAATATTGCTTTATAATACCATAAAACCAAATGTTACGATACAATCTGATAATTCTGAATCAAATGACATATCAATGCACTTCAACTTCGAACTTGACTTTTTAACTTTTTTTTTGTTTCAAGCGCCATTGATGAGTCTTCTGTAGAACAAACGCGCGTACGTTACGTACAAAATATTAGGACTGGTAGCTGTGATGAGTTTATGTTTATCACGTAATCGATATCAAATAGTGAGACAAAAAAGAATTCTATTTTACAGGTATTCATCTTCTCCTGGGTCTTCTTCTACTTGAGGCAACGTACAGTAAGTAAAATATTTTTAATAGTTATCCCATGAAGACGCGGTGTGTCATTGTATTATTCGTTCGACCTGTTTGTCTTCTTGCCAACTGAAAAAATTTAATTATTTACATATTTACAGTTAACGCTAATCTATCACAAATTACCTTATCTTTGAAACTGGTCATATCAGTCTAAAAGTCATTTGATCAAAACGCCAATTATAGTTCTGAAATCAGTTTCCCTCCGAAATGAGGTTGGAGGTTCGCCTTAAATTTAATTTATTCCAATTGAACAATTTTAGTTTCGAAATATCTTTTTATTAGATTTAAATGATAATAACTAATACAGATTGGTTAAAAGTGATCAAAAGTTTAATTAAGGAATAACAGTACTGTAGTTGAAAAGTTGCCACCGTCAAATCAAAATTGACGGTGGCAACCCCTCAACTACAGTACTGTTATTCCGATTCTAATGCATTACAAAAAGAAATAGTACGTTAGAGCTTGAAAAAATGTATAAATGTGAAATAAAAAAAAAATCCGCGAAACTTTATGAACTTTATGAATGATTTTTGCACAAAGACGTTATGGCTAAACGTGACGTCATACAAATGAAAACTTACAAACTGGAGGTTATTACGTTAATACGATTCAAATTTGGATGAAATCACATTAAAACGGCGATTTTGAGGTTGGTGTTATTTAATTTGCGATTATATTGTAGAAATCAAACATTTGTTGATTCAATCAATTCAAAATGGCGGGTCCCTCCTTAGTTACGACTGGTCAACTGTTGATTTGACGGCAACTTTTAGCCAATGAAAAAAGTGGTTACATAAAAAATTGCATTAGAATAAACATGTTCTGCTACACATTATGTCCCATTGTCCGATATTTTTTATTAACAAAGATTTATTGTTCCAGATGAAATTTGATTAAAAACGTTTATAAACTAAATATAAAATGAATAAATATACAGGTTTATCATTTATGATCAGTCGAGCGTTGACAAGAAAAACTACAAATAGTGATCAGAAATGTGATAACAACCTTTCGATGGTATTTTTAATCACAGTGTAAATAACGAGGGTCTGGATGGGGTTTACAGAATAGAGAATAATGGACAAAAATTCAGAATAAAGGGCAAAGTTAACAGGAATAGCGGAAAATTGGCAAAAATAATAAAGAAAAGAGACTAAGGGGTTGCTCAAATATAAAGAATAGAGAATAATGGGCAACATAAATAAAAAAAGTACAGAAAAATGGTCTAAACATTTTAAGAATAAAGAAATGAAGGACCCCCCATCCAAATCCTCAATAATGTGTTTTTGTTAAATGTATTTGACAGATGCCGATGCTTTACAGTGTTTACGTTGTGACCGGGTTATTTCACCACGACATTGTCATGGAAAAACAACATGCGACTCTCATGAGGTATTTATATGGTTTGTTTGCGTGATTGTTTGTTGCTATTATTGTGATTTTCACTAACCTTTGATACATCATGGTGCCCATTATCATTTGAGGTTGCACGAGAACCTGGAAGGAACCACGACCGTTGACAGGAAATCTTGCAATCGTTGACAGTTACGATTGGAGTCGAACACACCTCGCTACAAGCGGCGTTCACTCACAACTTTGAAAGGCTGATGATCACTACAGATGATCTAAAAATGTATTTAGACTACTCGGCCATCAACTTATATGTTAAATCTCAGTCTTAGATAAGCAAAATATCGGTCGCTAAATTTTATTTTTTTAGCCATTATCTTATGCTTTATATCTTTTATATATTGTTTATTATTTTTCAGCATCAAAATTAAATCCGTGAAAGGGATGGGTAAATTGCTAATCAATGTCTAATGATATAATTTTTTTCCGTCGTTTTTGTCATCATGAGGAATAGAATTTACAACAACAAAACTTTTTTGATACCAAGTGTATCAAAATTAAAAAAAATATATATAAATATTGAAGTTACTGTATCAAACTGTTTATTATAATACCTTTTCAGTCTTTTCATATTTTTTTTTTTTATTTATTTATGATATTGTTATAAATACATCTAATATTATGAATATAATTTACAACATGTAAATAGCCCATGATTGGTGGGTTTTTTTCTTTTGCAATACATTAGAGTTATTCTATGAAAACAAATAATAGGTCTACCATCGGATTGTAGATAATAAATTTTCGACCTGATTAAGGCTATTGCTTTTTTAGTTCTGAGGCCGATAGGAGGCATGCATATATTTTATTTTTTTAAATCAATACGTTTTGTTTTATGTCATGCTACATTTAGCGTATAAACGCATGAAATCGATTATTTGCGCATGGCGCTAGCTCCTGGACTAACTTCAGGTTTCACACACTATGGCCATTTTCCTATACTGTAAGACTTCGTAGGTCCATATCGTTTGCTTTCAACGTTTTTATCGTATATTTTTTTTACTATCAATGCTGAACCATGAAAGTCCCAACATTCCGAGAAAAAATATACATAAATACATTTGTAACTTAACATTAATTTTAAACGTACGAAAAAAAAAGAAAAAAATTCCAACGAAATAGGCCATCGTTAATTTTTAGAAAACATAATTTACAAATGTTATTAATACAGAAATACCATCGTTTTCATACTTTTCACTTTCATGTTTGACGTCATCATATGAAAACATAATCTCCTTGAAATCATATAGTTTTGATACTGTTTTATTTTCAGACTTGCTATTTGGATCAATACACAGGACTAGACGGGGAGCTTTTGTATGATGTAGGATGTCGCTCAAAAGAGGTTGGTTTTCTATTATTTAATAATATTCAGTGCAAAGCCTACAATAATCGTGTTATATCAACAATGTAAAAACGGTAAAATAAAAGTATTTAGTCATCAAGAAATTCAGAACTCTACGTCGATATAAGATTTATTGAATTGTATACATTTTATGAGGGTCTGGATGGGGTTTACAGAATAGAGAATAATGGGCAAAAAGTGAGGAATAAATTATTAAAAATAGAAAGAATAGAGAAAAATAGGTAAAAAAAAAAAGAATAGAGAATAATGGGTTACTGAAATATAAAGAATAGAGAATAAAGGGCAATCGAAATTAAGAACAGAAAAAAAAATGGTCTAAAAAAATTAAGAATAAAGAAATGAAGGAACCCCCATCCAGACCCTCTTGTATATGTGCTTAAAATGGCATTAGCTACGAGATATAACAAAAAATTAGAATTTGATTTTTTTGTTTTGTTCAATCATCAATGAAAGAGAAATAGTGAAATAATAATTCGCTTTTAGCAGCCAGTTTGGTTCAATTTTGTCAAAATAAGCTAAGAAACATCGCTGATGAATTATTCAGTTGTAAGTGAATAATTCGACCTCCTTCAATCCGTTTTCATGTGACCTTCAATTTAACTCCTTAGCTAGAGATGGGTTACGCATGAATTAGGCGTGTTCAGTTATTAAAAGGAAAAGAATGTCAACATTGAAAGTGAAACAAGCGTAAATCATTTGACTGACTGATTCGATCCACTAAAACTCATTCTTATACAGGTAAAAACGATGATTAACATATATTTTTAACTTATAATATGAAATCAAACAGACTCAGAAAAATCCAATTGCACGAGTTCGCTATCTATTTATATCTTATTTATGTTTATATCGAGTTATATGACAGTCGGCAGTCTTAGGAGGTCACCTCGATGGTCAATTAGATGGCGTCTACACTAAAATACACACGAAATGTTGATACGTATTATCGAGCCCATATATTGTAAATAGGTTTTTTTTCAGACTTTTTATAATTTTGATATACGTTTTAGTAGGTTATAAATCAAATATGAGAAATTGAGTCAAATCGGTGAACATGAATTTGACAGCTAATGCCCCTTTAACGTCAACTGGCAAGCATGTGTTGTAAAGTCGTGATTTTTTTTTATTCGTGTTAATTTAGACGATATTGGAAATTGATTTCAATGCGCTAAATGTGAGGTGGCAAATATCGGTGCATTACATTTGTCATGCACTGCCGTGTTTAATTTAAAAGGCAATTGAAATTTTCTGTTTTCTTTGTCTGTTTGCACTGGTAGTCTAAATTTACATTCTTTATATTATTCCACTTTAAGCTTTATTATACACGCAATACGTTTATGTTGCTGATGACGAAATACAAATAAATAATCACGAAAAATGATTTTCTTCGGTGTTGTTTATTATCTAATTCAACTTGGTAATTTGCAAGAACTTAATTAAAAAATCAGCTGCAATTCGCTGGTCATAGCTATAACATAGCTTATTAAAATTCTCTGTTAATATATTTAGAAACTGTGAAGACATTAAGGTTCAAACTCCCTCAGGCAAAGTTTACCTAGACGAATTTGGCTATTTTTTTTATACCGCCTTTGGTCATTTGGCGCTTCAAGTGTTCGGGAACTTATACATACTTGATTTATGTTTTTTTGGCTTTAAGCGTTCCTGATGTTTATCCAAAAAGCGCTCGGGAGCCCACAATTTATGAAGTGTTGCTTTATTTTCATACGTCATAAAAATAGTTAATATTTTTTTTTTCAATCGGAATTATTATTTATATCATTAGATATTCTTAAACTCTAAATTCCATATATATATTAAGCTTTGTACTAATACAACACCTGGATTACGATCGACAGCTCAGGCAGGGACAAAGACCTGTTCTAGATGTTGTTCTGGTGACTTGTGTAATGCAGAAGGCTGTGGAGAACAAGGTATATTTTTTTCAAATTCAAACATTTTACGTTCATTGTATGGTTCAAATATAAAAAGAAGATGTGGTATGATTGCCAATGAAACAACTTTCCACAAGAGACCAAATGACACAGAAATTAACAACTATAGGTCGTTCAACAATGAGCAAATCCCGTACCGCACAGTCAGCTATAAAAGGCCCCGAAATGACAATGTAAAACAATTCAAACGAGAAAACTAACGGCCTAATTTATGTACAAAAAATGAACGAAAAACTAATATGTAACACAGAAACAAACGACAACCACTGAATTACAGGCTCCTGACTTGGGACAGGCACATACATACATACAGAATGTGACGGGGTTAAACATGTTAGCGGGATGCCAACCCTTCCCCTTACCTGGGACAGTGGTGTAACAGTACAACATAAGAACGAACTATAAAAATCAGAGGTTGTATAATTGATAGTTCATTTTCCGTGCATTTGATTAACTCGCAAAATCCGGGAGTTGATTGTTGAAACAGTTTAACATGAAAATAATGTTCTCCGAATGTCGATATTTTAATTCCGTCTATGCCATAGCTAAAAAAAGGATCTTCTACATTGTTTTTGTCTGTACAAATGTAGAATTATTATTGGGAAAATACTTCGTAAATTATTTGTTTATGTATAAATGAAATATAAAATATCATACAAACTTCATTCAGCTTATGCACGCACAAAATGAAAAGAGGATTAGAGCATTCGAATAAAATTCATGATAACTTTGACTGACACCAAGTGCGACGACATTTTAAAAAAAATCTATTTCGCAAATATTGGTCTGATATGTTCAAAATCATAGCATGTCATGCATTTCAAAGCAAGGACTTTATGGCTATGACATAGTTTCTAATTCCCTGAAATGATAACAGATATCATCAGAAATATTGAACAGTACCACAGACCACACCTATAATAGAATAATTACATTACATGTATGTTTCATTATAATACGTTATTTTAATTGGCTAACAGCAATCTCGCGTCATTCTGAAATTAACCTTCATTTCAAAATGAAATGTAACATTCATGTCGACACGAGCTTCCTCAATAAAGTGCACAGGTAAATAAAAGAAAAACTTGTTCATGATCCTAGCCAAAAAATGTAATTATAAGTATTGAATGCTTCTTTTAGTAATTTTATAGGGTTGAAAAAGCGTTGACCGTGCGCACATTTTTAGAATGAAGCGCTTCCGAGCTTCATACAAAATGTACTTCGGTCAACGCTTTTACACCCCGATAAATTTACAAAAAGAAGCATTCAATTCTTAAATAAAAAGAACAACATATTTGTCTATTTAAAAGCCTGAATTGGAACAGACATAAAATGTATTTTGGTTAAACAAGTTGTAAAAGAGTACAAATCTCCCCATTTTAATTTAAGATGTGGTATGCTTGCTAATGAGACAACAGTCCACCAGAGTACAAATGAGGTGGACGGAAGCATTTATAAGTTATCGTACGGCCGTCAACAATAAGCAAAAGCATTCCCGTATACTAGTAGTCAGCTATAAAAGGCCCCGACTAGGCAAAGTGTAAAACAGTTCAAACAAGAAAAACAACAGCCACAATTTTAACAAAACAATTCACAAAAATAAAATATGACAGACATGAACCAACGACAACCGATGAATTACAGGCTCTTGACTTGGGACAGGCGCATCTAGAATTTGGCCTTTGGCTTAACCTTATTTCAAAATATATTCGCTACTACAGGGGTCCAGATAAAGCTAAATTAGCCACAGCTAATGGATGAATACTACAAATAAAAACAACAAAATTATTAGAACACTCGTAACAGGTGTAGGTGTATAAGAGAGAGGCGAAAAATGTCAAAGGGACATTCAAACTCAAAGTAAAAAAATAAACTTACAACGCTATGGCAAAAAAAAAGACCAAAAGACAAACAACATTACACAAGACACAACATAGAAAACTAAAGACTGAGCAACATGAACCCAACCATGCAAAAACCGGGGGAATATCAGGTGCTCCGGAAGGGTAAACAGATCCTGATCCACATGTGGCATCCGTCGTGTATAATGTAAAAAGTAAAATCACAAAAATACTGAACTCCGAGGAAAATTCAATCGTAAAGTCCCTAATCACATGGCAAAATCAAATGACAAAACACATCAAACGAATGGACAACAACTGTCATATTCCTGACTTGGTACAGGCATTTTCAAATGTAGAAAATGGTGGATTGAACCTGGTTTTATAGCGCTAAACCTCTCACTTGTACAACAGTCTCATCAAATTCCGTTATATTTACAACGATGCGTGAACAAAACAGACATAATGAATAAAATAGTCAAAATATGGGTACAGCTGTCATCACTGTGTTACAATATCAAAACAAACAATCATTTACAAAAAAGCACAAAAGCATTTATCAAATTAAAAACCACATTCATTGCTTCGCGTGTCTGACGTCAGAAAATGTAAACGTCACATAAGAAGAAATTTTGTCGTTCAATGTTTATTCAAAACAATTTTATAATAACACTTAATAGATTCCGTGTGTCCGATGCACTTTTCTTGATCTATCTTCATTATGAAGGCTCAACAAATAGAAAGCCAATGTATTGATACTTGAATACTAGAAAGGCTATATGACTAAACGGGACCTAAAGAGAATAGCCAATAGTCTAATCAAGGACAAGTTTGCATGAGGGAATAAGAATGTTGGTTCCGTTAGAGTACATTGAAAGATGGGGACACCGCAGAGATACACTAATTAATGATTTCAGTCGTTGACTTTGTAAACTAATTTTAATCAGTCATCGAAAAAATCATAATTGATAAGTTTCAACTATTGAACTGTAGTATTTCAATATGATTATACTTCTTTTTTCATTCAGGTTTCCCCAAGTATAGAGGTCCTATTTGTTATAACTGTCAACAGTCACGGAACCCTGACAAGTGCGACTCAATTACTGTATGTGGGAGAGATGATGTAAGTAGCTTTCAATAACGACATGATCAATAAAAATGGGATCAGCGTTTTCGATTTGCTTCCATGTAATTCAAGCAAAATTTTATGGACGCACAAACAAACAAATACTTTGTTTGTCAATCATGGAGCCCAAAAATGAGCAGAATAATTACAATATAATTTTCAAACATAATATCAAAGTAAAATAAAAATAGGTTAAATAATTACATGTATAACATGCTCACAAGAGCAAAATATATCAACACTTGCTGAGAATCGACCGTTTGGTTGTGCGAGATGAATAATTCATCATTTCAGAAACTAATGCATTCTGGGTAATATTTTTAAAAGCATACACCAAAATATTTTCATTGGCTAACAATAGAAATTCGACCAATGATGTGACGTTATTTTCATTGTTGGGTAAAAACAATTTAATTACCCATAGTTCTCTAGATTCTAAGAACAAAAAAAATACTCATAGTCCTCTAGATAGTCCTCTTGATTCTGAAGCGGTCAATTATATAGTCACATTCACTAAAGGATATATATTGTTAGTGGTCAATATGTGTTTAAGCGGTCTTTTCATTCTCCTTTCTGTATGATCGTTTATTAGGGTTTTCTTGCATTTGTCAGTCCGCATGATATATTCAAAACCCGAAAGTAGAATCAAAATAAACTTCCATAGAGTATTTTCTTTGAAAAGGAACCTTTTTTTTCAATTTTTGGGGAAACATTGAATAGGATTGATGATAACAGTGACACTTGGACACTGCCATAGTTATCACAGGAAAGGGCATCTTGTTTCCGAAGCCCTTACTAAAATTATTGACGGAATTTAAATGAAACTTTCACAGAGTCTTTGGCACCTCTATCATGCAAATCAGCTTTAGTTTTCGACCCATTTGACTAATAACATCACATTGATTTTGATAATACACAACATTGGTAAGATCTCTTGTCCATAAATCCTTTAAAACTTAAGAAATTCCAAAGTCTGTCATTATCTTTATTCATAAAGTAACAGTCATGATTATGTACCTGGTATTCTATTTTTCGAATGATTGTTTGGATATGTCTTAGAAAATGGAAGCATTGCTCAAAGTTCATTTATTTAAAGTACTGTTATATATTCCTTTCTTTTTTTCAATTTGCAGGCATGTCATATTGAACAACAAGAAGAGTTTGGTGATATATTTTACGCAACCAAATGTATTTCAAAGCACGTGAGAATGATTCCAAATTTTTCTTAAATAATGCATACTCTCATTTTAATACAAATATAGAATGCTTAGTAACGAAATAACATGTAAAGGAAAAAACCAATAAAATATATAATTGGCTATTACTTGAAACTATGTTGATTGGCGTTAATTAAACAGGAATCCGACACTTTTCACTGTTGAGAATAATTATCAAATTTCCTTTAAAAGCTTCAAAAATAAACTTTGCTAAAACTATATGGCATCAACTCCCCATCAAATATAAATGGTTGTCGCTATGTTGATTGGCGTTGATTAAATGGCAATCCACCCCTCTAAAATGCTGAACTGATGGGACTTATTATCAGATGTCCTTCCATAGCTTTAAAATCAATCTTTGCTGAAAAAAATATACGGAATCAGTTTCCCATCAGATATAAATGGTCGAATATATGTTGATTGGCTTTGATTTAACGGTTGAAAATAATCATCAGATTTCCTCCAAATTTAAGACTTTATAACAAAATAGCTAAGCTAAAAAAAAGTAAAAAACAAACATTTAAAACTCAAAAGAAACTAACAAAAGAAAAAATACAATGCTATTATGATTGGAACAATTTATTAAATAAACTTGTGTGATGAGGCCAGTTTAAGGTGAACCGCTTATGATAAGTCGATGGTATTTGGTATGCAGTTGTATTAGTATTCCATTTGGTATTTTTTATTTTAGCATAGGGTATCTAGCCCTGCACCTTCAATTAGGGTTAATTCCCTTTGAATGGTTTGCATAGTTTAAATGTTAAAGTATTGTCATTTTGATTATAACATTTGCTATATGGTATCAAAATTGCATACAGGCGAGACATATCTCTGTGTGAACAGTTTATCACAATTGTAGCTGTGTTCTATAAATGGTGGCAGCATATTTGGTAAACGCAGTGGAAGTAAACGTAATGGTAAAAGAAACACGTTATGTTCAGCGTGTTGCACGAGCGACTTGTGTAATAAGAATTGTAAGCCCATTATTACATATTTATTTTTATTTTGTGGATATCCACTTTGAGTATTTGTATTACCATGATTACTGATAAGTAAATATGGGCTGCAATAATGTTAGTCTTATTCAATAAAAATCGTTTTGATGTGGTTATTTTTACATGAATTTTCATTTTTGTTCCATAAATATTACAAGCAGAACATTGAAACACTGCATGTGTAATTCACATATTTCTTAAGCAGACAAATCCAAAGTTTAAAATAAATTATTCAAATGCACAAAAAGGCGTAAGCCAGGGTCGACCGTGCAAGACCCTCATGGGTAGTTAAGGTAGTTAAAAAAAAGCTTCGTCGTCGGCGCCAAATCCATACCGACCGAATTTACACATACGCCCAATTTTGATTTATAACATATATACAATTTGTATACTAAAAAGTATATAAGAATTAGAAAAATACAGGAAACAATAAAGTATGCATGAAAACGTTGTAAAGTGTTAATTTTATTAACTATCGACAAGGCCACCGAAAATTTCCGATGAGTATGTGTATCCGATATAGCTATAAATATACATCAATATAAAATCGGAGGTAAAAACTGGTCAAAGATATCAGGGTTATAATTTTGTACGACAGAAGCGTGTTTCGTCTTCATAAGACACACTAAGTGACGCTCGTATCAGTACTGTTTGAAGGCTAAATCAAGACGAAATGGAAAAGCAATAAAAACCAACAATTCCGAAAAGTACAGATGCAGTATTATAATGATGATTGCATAGTTTGATTTCATATCACAGATTAATAAAAAATGTAAATCATCGTTTTACATTTTTTTGCTTGTCAAATCAGTCATCAAAATAGCTTTTCCTTCTAGCTGCTTAAGTTTCTTACTGCGAACACGCTAGTAAGTGCAATTAATGTCCAGATGCGTTCACATCGGAGATCGCATGTGTACTTATTCAAATGGATTAAATTACTGTCTCACTAGACAATATTGTATCAGCGAAGTGTATAAGCTTATTTTAAAAATAAAATAGACCACATTAACTACTTACATCTGTTGCCAGCGAACTATTATTCAATATTTCGTTCATGTGAATGACTAAAACATTAACACATATGTTAAGCTGGCCACTACATGTAACAATTTAAACACCTGCTGGACGCAATCAGAATAAAGGTATTTTTCTCTTATATGTTTGTCATTCATTATTGATCTTTTTTCATCTTAAACTTCTGAATGTTGAATCTACTTCGTTATAGGCCACAGAAACAGTATCTCGTACACAACAAGTAAACATTATAACAGTACACGACCATGGTACTATGAAACCACTGAACCCCACCATCACTGGACCACTTTGCCTAGGTACAATACTACTCATTATACAACAAAGGACTGGAGAAACTACAGCACCACGACACAATCAGGTAATTTCCATTTATATCCTGTTCTGTATGAATGTTATTATAGAAGAATTCAAATTGATCAATGTCAAAGTTCAAAGTCAATATAGTTGCTTTAGCTGGATGAATACTTGACCGATAGATTTACTTTTGATACAAGTCACAGTGAATCGCCTTCAACATTTAAAACATATTTTTTTTGTTAAAAAATCAAGAATTTTCTAAATATACTGCTGAAATTTACCAAAATGAACTTCCTCTAAATAAATCAAATAAAAACGGTAATAACTGTCTTTTCCTAGATTTTAATATTTCAGTTTTACACGGAAAACTCTACACTAAAATTTACGACAAAAGGAGCGATTTTTCGTTCCCTTATTGTTAATTTTCTATTTTTGGACGGTGATGTTCCTTTGGCACCATCCTACGGTGTTTATATATCACAACTCGTTCGCTATGCCCGCGTTTGTTGTGACGTTTTCGATTTCAATGAGCGTAATCTATGTATTACTGGTAAATTATTATTCTTTCATAGATACAAAGATTTGGTTTGGAAGTTTTGTTGTACCTGTAGAAAACTTATTTCAAACGGGATAGCACATCCTAATTTTTGCGGAGATGTTGTTTACCGAGCCTGGAAATTTAGATACGATCCGTGTAAACTTATCAATGATCCTTTAAATAAACTTATTCTAAAAGGTTACAAATTCAACACTGTAATTATACCATTAAATATTGTGTTTATTGGTATTAATATTGATTTTGTTATCAGTGAATTAAAATCAAACTAAATGTTATTTTCATATCCATATGCACATTCATGGCTCTACAATCTGTCGATACATGTATCTTGGCATTGCACAAGGTCATGTTTTTCTCTGACTGTTAAAGGCGTCTTTACACTAAATCCATTGGATGTTGGATGTGTACTGAGTGATATTTTAGTCTTAGATGCATGATTTTTTTATTAGTTGTTATTGGCTTTGAACTAGCTGTCAGTAACTGCGAATACTCTCAGGTCTGTACTTAGTATCTTTTTTGTTGTGGGGATGTATAAGTACCCTGCCTCGTCCGGTCTGTGTTTTTATACACCCGTCAAAATTTTGACGGGACGTATTATGGTATACAAATGTCCGGCGTCCGTCTGTCCGGCGTCCACATGTCGCACCGTAACTTGAGAGCGACTTATCCAAATTTCATGAAACTTAACATAGTTGTTTCTTATGATGGTCAAACGATCTGTATACTTTTTGGTGAAAATGAGATGAAAACTTTTTGAGTTACGGGACTTTGTAACTAAAACAGGGGAGTGTTTTTTCACATGTCGCGCCGTATCTCAAAAACGATTTATGATTATTGCTTAAAACTTTACACACTTCTTAGTTATAATAAACTAAAGATCTGTATACTTTTTGGTGATTATTCAAAATTTTATTTTAGAGTTATAGAGTTTTTTGTAAAAAAAAAAAAGGGGGAGGGGGTTCACATGTCGCGTCGTATCTCAAAATCGATTTATGATTATTGCTTAAAACTTGACACACTTCTTAATTATATTGATCTAAAGATCTGTATACTTTTTGGTGATGATTCAAAATTTTATTTTACAGTTATTGATTTTTTTATAAAAAAAGGGGGTTTTCACATGTCGCGCCGTATCTCAGAAACGATTTATGATTATTGCATAAAACCTCACACACAAGACGACGGGCGTATCATGCGCTCGTGGCGCAGCTGTTAATTGTTAGATGTATTTCTGCTTTGTATCGATCTGATGAGTTAAGCCATTTTCAACTGATTTTTATAGTTTGTTCTTATGTTGTACTATTATACCACTGTCCCAGGTTAGGGGAGGGGGAGGAGGGAGGGGGGTTGTCGTCTTCAACAGAGCCAGAAACCTGTAATTCAGTGGTTGTCGTTTGTTGCTGTATATCATATTTGTTTTTCGTTCATTATTTTGTCATAAATCAGGCCGTTAGTTTTCTCGTTTGAATTGTTTTACATTTGTCATTTCGGGGCCTTTTAGGCGGTATGGGTTTTGCTCATTGTTGAAGGTCGTACAGTGACCTAAAGTTGATGATTTCTATGTCATTTGGTCTGTTGTGGAAAGTTGTCTCATTGACAATCATACCACATCTTCTTATTTTTATATATAGGATGTAAAATCATATCCAGGTCAAATAAAGTGTGGGTCGGCTTGGTCGTGTTTCTCCGCAATAACTTGATTGTTTTTATATCTTCGACATATTGTTTTAATCCCCCCCCCCCCCCCTAGTTTGCATCTTCTTACGTTTAATTGATTGTTATGTCACAATGTTACATTTAGTTATTACGTATTAAACGTATCATACATTGTGCACAACACTACGTTTTTGAACCTACATCCTGTACCCAAAATAAATGTATTGGCAGCTAAAAACAATTAAGACGCAAAATGTCTTAATTGTAATTGTAACGACAACAGAAGAGCCAAAATAGGACACTCAATGATAAATAAGGTCAACTTTGTGCCAAATGTGTTCAAACTTAGATTTAGTTTAATCTAAAAATGTATAATGTGACATTTACAGGAAATTAGTATCATTTCAATAAAGACAATACTTAAGAACTGGTACCAAAGCGGATTGTACATCTAGTACTAACCTGCCTTATACAGTGGTACCAAAACTGTGGGGGGAATAAAAAGAGACGCATGACACGTGTTGCTGGTAAATTGTATCGGGATGAGTGTCATCCCGAATTTCAGGGAAATAAAAGCGTTCTTTCCTGGATCCCTAAAAATAAAGCATTAATTTCCTAATGCCGATGTATGTGTCTAAATCCCGAATTCCCGCAAAAAATAAAATTCCAAATTCCCGCAAAAAATAAAATCCCAAATTCCCGCAAAAAATAAAACCCCAATACCGACGTCAGGAAAATGATCCTTCCGCCTCTCTATCGGCTACATTCAACACCAAAGTTTATTGAAACGATTTATATAAAAGAGTCATGTAATCGTAAAAAGTAATGTGGAATAGTGTAAACCGTCTTTGGTATTCATGTTTTAATTAAATATTGAATTTACTGATATAAATAAATGTAGTTTTTCTAGTAATTCTTTTGAATTGTTTCACATTTTGTCGTGCCAGTGTGTTTTCTACAAATTTCTATAGGTTATTGGTTTTACTCCTTGTTGAAGTCCGTATGTTGACTTTTTTTTTGTGCTCTTCCTTTTGTCTCTAGTGGATGTTTGTCCCATTGTCAATCATGTCACATCTCTTTGTTTCTATATTATCATTTTTGTATAAGACATCTCGTGGCTAAATATAAATTCCGGTCCATATTTAATTATTAATTAGTAAAACTAAAAGTGATATTTGGAACATACAATATTAAAGAAAAAAAATCAAATGTGTTCCCAAAGGTACTTTATTATGTAGAAAATGGTTGATTAAACCTGGTTTTATAGCTAGCCTAATTTGAATTAAAAACTATAATTGACATAAACTCTAATCTTTTAGATTACGTAGAAATGACAACTTCAAGTTGCGCTTGTTATATAAGGCTTAGTTTCAAGACTTTTTTCTTTGGCCGTTTCTGATGAGGATAAATTACGCAGGATGTAGAATATTCCAAATTTGACCTCGGCAGCCATTGCTGAGCTAGTTGTATACATAATCTCTCCATACATCAATAATATTTTGGCCGGTAAATACCTAATTTAATCCGTGCACTCAATCGATAGGAATAGCCGCCTAGAATCTAATTTTTTTTTTGCCTCCGCCGTAGTCTTACCCTTGATCGTCCTTCCGTCTGTCAGTCCATTTTTCCGTCCGTCCGTCCAATTTTTGTTTCCACACTCTAACTTAAGTTTTACTCATCCAAATTTTATGAAACTCATACACAATGCTAAGAACCACAACACAAAGACAAAGTTCGAATTTGTGCAGTTAGTCTTTTACCCTTCTGCAGTTATGCGCCTTTTTAACATGGATAATAGCAATGCTTGAGCGGGGTCATCCGTGTCCTCAGACACATTTTTCTTTTATTTCTTTTATAATACTCATGAGGACAGAAATGGAATTTCTGTACTGGTTTATGCCTATCCTTGTTGGTATATTTTGCTTTTGTGACATAATATTTGTTATCTGGAGTACTTATGTTTTTCTTTTAGAATTTGTTGCTGCGAGTGGTAAGTAGGGTTTTCTTATTAATACCATGCGGGTCTAAAACATACTTTTTCAACAGAACAGAGCAGCATTTTGTGAAGACGCATAGTACCTTGTATATTATGTTGTTAAATTTATGAGTCTTGCGTGATGTAATTGGCAATATGCATTTATAATTCTTCTACTCCCTCAAAGCAAAATTAATGTTATACGATTTTGGCTGTCTTGATGAGGACCCTGGGTTCTGCAAATAATGTTTAATGTGTATGTCCTCTGAATCTTTTGGTCTTAAATATACTTGATAAATGTTTTGTTTTTGTCCTGATACATGATTCGTGTGCCCTAAAATCGATATCAAGGGTTTACTTTACGAATAAACTCACAACAAACGCCATGATTGACATTTACTATAAACTACAAAGGTAAAGTTGAATACATGTTGATAAGTTGAAGATCACATATTAAAAATAGAGGTTCTCATATTATTTACAATGAAACGGAATTGCCAAATCGATTGACAAGCTCTTGGAGTTTATATTTTATCTTGATTTGAAATTCTCCACAAGAGTTAAAAAAAAACAATAGTTAAATACAGCATATCATTTTACATAATTATAAACTCTTCACTAAACAGGTTTTTCTTCCATTAACCCATGGACATTTATTATGCCATTTTATAGATGAAAACAAAATTTCATTCGTTGATAAATTTAACAACAATACAGATGTCTTCAGACTCTTTTTTCTAAGTATAAACAAGTTGTATCAGAAAATTATGATATTGTATATAACGTTTTATCCGTTATACAGGTCACTATGGGAATTTGTTTGCCATTTTCTTCATGCCAAATCATCAGCGTACGAATACCAACATAAGCCTTGAGCTCCTTATAACGTCACCGTACACTAACTATAATGTTAAAATTAGCTCACAGCACAATGGACTTCAACTTACAGGACAGGCAAATGGCCATGTCATTCGAACACATGTACCAAACACACTCCAAAGCCTAGGTAAGCTGTCTGACAACGCATATAATATTTACGACACAGGAATTAGCATATCTTCGAATAAACCTATCTTTGTCGCTGCAATGAATGAATATTCCTGTTGCTCCGGAGAGGCTTTTAGCGCTATTCCTGTTAAGGACATTAGAAGAAACTACATTATTGCGACATATCCGGAGGGCACCAAATCGGTGGGTGTTGTAGCGATAGAGGACAACACTTCCGTTAGGGCAAAGTTACAACCTGGAAACAGCACTATGGACGTTCATATAAAGTATGCTTTTGAAGGAGTATTATTTACATCAGATGATGTCGACATATCGACTGGAGGAACAATTGAGAGTGATAAACCAATCGCAGTACTTTCTGGAAATATGGATTCTCTCATTCATCGTGGTGACAGAAATTTCCAAACAGAAATGCTTATACCGACAGATCAATTTGCTCAGAGGTATATTGTTCCCAAAATAGCCAATGCCAAACATATCATTCTTCGAATAGTTGCAAGAGATCCGTTTTCTACTGTTTATATCACGGGGAAGAATGGGTTTTATAAAAACACTTATAAGCAATATGTAAATGAGCTAGAACTATCGAATGATGGATACTTTATCAACGCCCAGAGACCAGTCATGGTTACTTTGTACACAATATATGAAAGCTCAACTGTGAACCCGTTCATGACTTTACTTCCCGCCGTCGACCATTTTTCTAGCAACTACGTCATAACCACGCCAACCAATACCAACTATACCAATTACGTCACTGTGATCATAAGTTCAAAAGATAATGAAGATGGCCTCCGTCTTAATGGCGGTAATTTATTATTCCATGCGGTTGATGTAACACCAGTTGAGATGTTCCGAACTGTTTATAAGAGTATTTCAGTCAGCTTAAATGCCAAGGATACTTCATTCACAATTTCACACATTGACAAAAATGTCAAGTTTGGTCTTCTGGTATATGGCTATAAATACCGTTCGGCTTACGGATATCCAGGTGGATTTTCTTTAACTAAATAAACATGTTAAACACATTTCTTTGTTTTAGTTGTAATAAAAATAAGAAGATATGGTTTCATTACCAACGAGACAACTATCCATCAGATATCGAAGGACGAGGATGTATACAACGAAAGTACATTGTACGGCTTCCTACGTCTCTATGTTGGCGTTTGTTTTTGTTGCAGTTCAGTGTTTCTGTTGTTCCGTTGTTATCCTCTTAAAGTTGATGTGTTTCCCTCAGTTTTAGTTTGTAACCCGGATTTGTTTTCGCATATTATCGATTTATGACTATTGAACAGCGGTATACTACTGTTGCGTTTATTCCTCAATTTAGCAAAGCCCATATCGTATAGTAAGCTATCAAGGTCCCGGCATGACAAAATGTGAAATCATTCAAAAGAGAAAAAAACAACAGACTCAATTATGATAGAAACATTAAACGAAAACGAAATATGGCAGACAGTAGCTAACGACAATAAATTAATCATAGACTCCTTATTTGGGAAAAACGCTTAAAGAATGTGGTACCCATTTATCCCAGTAAACATGTACTGATTTTCGTGTATTTCTTGGGATCAAACATTTTTACCATGATTTAAACTGACAATGTCAGTGCTTTCGTATGGTAGGAAAGTCCTGTTTAGTATAATTAGTATTGGAAATGTCAACTTGTACATCTCAAGATTTTTTTTTTTATCAAAAAATTACAAGAATCCATCATTATTCAGCAGCGGATAAAAGTGGCCGAGTCCCATTTATGGCTAAACATTCGCGTTTTAATGCAATTTATAGTGTATTACAGCAAGCCGATCCTTGTGTTTCGTTGGGCCCATCGGACCTCACCCCTTTTTGAAAATCCTGAAACATCCACTGTCAATGTTTAATTAACACGTAGAAAGTGCCGATCATCCTATCGTAAACGATGAATTAACAAATCAGTGTCCTGCAGTAACTGCACGTGTATAGACATAAAACAACAGGTATACAGACCAACAAAAAGGCGTATAGGAACAATGTAAACAAAAAATAAATTGATTCAATACGAACTCACGTCAAAACTGAGAGAGACCCTAACAGTTGTCTGAGATATAGAAGTAAAGACATTCCTTGACTTCTCCAATGCGACAGTGAAACCCATGATAAAGAAAAGCGTATCGTTTGTATAAACTCACGACAGTGTCCTATTGTAAATTAGACTATAAATCAAATTTATCGTGTAGGAAGAGTGCCAAGTTCTCCGTTCTCTGTATGAAACAACTCTTAAAAACAACTTTTTATGTGTCCTGTTGTCCGACAAATGTTGTTCTCTTGTCCAGCATGTTCTCATTTTCAGCGGGAGTTAAAATTCTCGTCCTTCTTCCCGATGGACCCACCATTAAGAATCTACCTATTGGGTTATTGTTTATTTGTTCTCGTCCTCAATATGGAGGAAATGTTCCCACTTGACGTTATACAAATAACAAAAAAAAAGAAGAATTATAACAACTGTTCAACAAGAGGTAATCCTCATCACATGCATGTGACACCAATGGTATTGCCTGATTGTTAAATCTGGTAATTAATCATATTTGATAAGTTTCACAATCATTACAAGAACACAAAGCCCTTAAATAATCCATTTTCTAGTAATTATGACAGCAATAGTTATCCGATGCAATTGTCTTTAATAGACAACAGCTTTTTAACAAAAACAAACCTTTTGTAATAGGTATACATCATACGCATGTATTTTGGTACTCGGAAAAAGAAAGTTCATTATTTGGAAACAAAATAATTACATTTGTCATAAATTATTCTCTGTACTTAACGTCATTTGGTGTAACCTATGAAATTTATGCCTATTCATATTATTGTTGTTGGGTTGCTGTTTCATTGACTAACGCCTAATATCCTCTTGCATTCATATATTCTGTTATCCGTATTATAATAAAAAGGATTAACTCTTCAAAATTCATGCAAGAAAATCATAATTGTATAATCGTTTATTGAATTATTGTTAGTAAAGACTTGATCATTTACATTTTCTCAAAAGCGAGTATTAACATTATAGAAAATTATAAGTAAAGTGGTGCAAGCCTATGTGGATTGCTAATACTTAGATTTCTAAAAATTACAATGCTGCAAGGAGAAAATTGTTCTTATGAGAGTCAGACTGAGTATATTGTCAGATGAACAGATTCGATAAAAATTAATGCACAATGGTATCATCATAAATCCCCACGTTAGAATGTCAAGCGACTGTTTTCCATTACCCTTGGCGTAGATGTTCTATCAAAACAACCTTCAGCTGATCTGTCAACACCGTGATAATGCTTGCAACTAGGTCCGTCTCCTACAAATTAAGTAAACTATATCAAAACAGTTTTCAACTCATAGTAAATCATTTGTTTCGATTTAGAATAAGTGTTACGTGATCTTAATACTTGTAATGTATATCTGGTAGAAATGTTATAGTGGAGTTTCGAATATTGAAAAAGACGCCTAGTACTTTCGAGGTTAAATTAGCTAAATGTCTCAATGAATTTGTATGTCTGAAAATGACAATCGATTATTCAACTTCAGAAAAATGTTTGTCTTAAATATCAAATATGTTGTGATAGACGATAAAATTGATGTTACCCCACGAAAGAGATTTGTCAATATGGATTCCTAGCATTTTTTGGTTATGATCGACGTCTATTATATGTTCATCATCAAACTATAGACTTAATTCTGTTTAAAAATATTTTGTCTATTTGAACGAATTAACATGACCTTAGTCTTATCTCTATTCAATATCATATCATTATCATTACACCAATTCATAACATTAAAAAAATATACATTCATTAATGCATTTAAATTTGTTACTGATGGAGATATCTTATATAATGTTGTATCATCAGCATAAAGTTCAGAAGAAACATTTTAAAGCACAAGGAATAACCATTATTAAATATTTAAAAAGGAAAGGTCCTAGTATGAAACCCTGTGGAACTCCTGATTGAACGTCTCTGAAATGAGATTCAATATCATTACCTTTTGAAATTTATCTGATAAATAACGGCAACAGTAGTACATCGCTGTTCAATATTCATAGCTCGATTATTGATCATCACAGTGATACATTTGCAATTTGCATAGTAAAATATAATGATTAACAATATCAAATTCTTTTCTCAAGTCTAGAAAAAGAGCACAATTTGAACTCGCTTTATCCATGTCGCTTAGCCATGCATCAATTAATTTAAAGAGGGCAGTGTTACATGAATGTCCAGATTTAAAGCCCGATTGCTGCCTCAAAAGAAGCTTGAATTTTACGAAATATGCATAAAGTTGCTTAAATACCAATTTTTCAAACATTTTTGAAACGGATGAGAGTATAGATATTGGTCTATAATTGATCACATCAGTTGCATCACCACCCTTGTGGAGAGATATAACCCTAGCTTCCTTCAGTTTATCAGGAAAATTACCTGTACAGAGACTTAAGTTGATAATATGTGCAAGCGACTCAATTGCTGAAGATATATAGTTTAAGGATACGCGATCCAACTTCATCAAACCTTCCATATATGAAGCCACATTTATCCAATTCGTTTTTGGTTGAAAGTAATGCGGTACATCAAAGTGTATAGTTTGTAAGAAAATGTTTCAGTAAAAGGTAAAAAATACAAACCATTTCCGAACCGTCTTCTGAAACATTAGACGATCTTCTATTTGGTTTTGCTGGTAGAGCAGATGACGCTGAAATGAAATAGCAAATAAAGCAAGATAATTTACTCAATACTGAAGTTTATAATGCTGTATGCTTGACAACATACTTGGCGTATATAACAAAATCCACTGATAAATTAAATATGTGGAAGATGTGGCGTTCGATAGGCTAGTTAAAATTATAAACAAATTTAAAAAATAAGAAGATGTGGTATGGTTGCAAATGAAAAAAACTCTCCAATAGAGACCAAATCACGTAGAAGTTAACAGCTATAGTACGGCATTCAGCAATGAGCAAAACCCATTCCACTTATAGTTATCTATTAAATTCCCCGAAACGACATATATAAAACAATTCAAACGAGAAAAACTAACACTGCATGAACGCATGCGTTTACTAAAATTTATTTTTTCAATAAATTCCTTTCTACTTAAGTTTAGAAATATACTTGAAATTTAAGGTAAATTCTACTACAAGTTTGTCAGAAATTACTGAATTACTTAGATCTGAAAATTAATTCACATTAAAGTAAATTTACAATACAATATATTTCAAGTTTATCAGAATTTATTGAATGTTTTACAGTTGGAATTTAATAACGAATAACGCGAATCTAAAATATTTTCTACTTCTAACTTAAGAGATTTTATTCTGTTATGTTTATTTACAATTAAAGTCTTGTTAGATCACATTTAACCCCATCTTTAATGAGATTTATTTTTTATAGTATACATATAGTTAGGAGTAGTTTAAAGGAAATTGGTTTCAGATAATACTTTATTTCATATAAAACCGGTTTCTAATTACGTTTGAAAAAAATGTATATGTTTGAGAAGGTATAATATTTCTACCCAAATTTAAAGAAAATATATAAAGCATTAATTTTGTACTCCAGTTATTCTAATCTTCTTTTTTTTTTCATTGTTCACTGAATTATCCGATTGTGAGGAAAAGTTACTATGACATGACTTTTTGTATGATGTTTAATAGACCTTTGAGTAGTATGATCTGAGACTACAGTGTTGTACAGTATATTAGTCTCAGGTTTGATTTATCGGCTAATGAATCATTTATTAAAGAAAACATTTTGTTTTTGTCAGATTTCAAGAAGTTGATCATAATTCTTTACTCCCTTATCCATCCTAATATAACTTATTTTACATTCAAATTCCTATTTTCCTCGTACATAATTTAACATTCTCGAGGGTTATCAAGAAATTAGGCTTTTAGTTTTCTCAATTGAATTGTTTCATACCAATACCGTATAGACGTCTACAAAAGGCCCCGACCTGAAAACTTGTTTCATAGTTTTCAGGTCGGGGCCTTTTGTTGACGTCTATACAGTATTGTTTTTTTTTTTTCATTGTTAAAGGCCGTACGGTTGCTTATAATTGCTTAAATCCACTTCATTTGAACGTTTGTGAATAGTTGTTCATCGGCAATATACCACATCTCCTTGTTTTTATATACATCAAATATGCTGTATTATGCAATTAAACTGTTTAATCAGGTATTTATCATTCGCACATTCGTTATTATTTGTATTGTTTATATTCATTTGCATTATCTATATAACTAGGGTTTTTACTTTTTGCAATAAAGTTATTATATATTGTAAATGTTTAGCATACATCTACAACTAGAAATTGTACTGAGTTTGCCCATTAGGATTCTAAATTGTATCTTTATGTTCGTACAGTTTACCTCCCTTTGATTGCAAAAGACGTGTTCAGGGGAAACGAACTGCGCTGCATTTACAGCAACTTTTTAGTTGGTTATTCTTAAATATAAACTATTACCTAATTGGTTTATTTCCCGTTTCCATTTTTCTGTTTACGAGCACAACAACGCTAGCACATACAAGATTTTGTTATATGATCAAGGTTAAAAAAATTAAAAAGATGTACAATACCTAAAAAATGTTAAGGGAAAAGGCTATTTTCTAAACAAATTATATATTTATTTATTTATGTAAATAATACAATTGGAACAGTCTGGCCAATCCTTGTTTTAAGAAGCAGAAGAAAATTGAAAATATGAAGCAAAAACTACGAGATGAAGAAATGCGTTCTTTTTTTATTTTCGATATCTTATTTTATTCATGTCGTATCTGCTAATACATTTACTGTAATTGCAAACAGATTTCCTTATGCAAGTTTGTGTGACAATCTTTCCATGATATCAATACAAATATGACCATGATTCTAGGGAAATCTCAGTGTAATGGTTTTGTTGACATGATGATATGTTAAAAATAATATTGCCTTCTATAGATTTTTATTATCTCACAATTAAAAATAAAAAACCGATTTGTACAAGAATTAGGATGAGACCTAAATCCACCAGAGACTAACAGACATGGATTCACAGCATGACCGTCACCAATGAGCTAAACTCATACATTGTATATAAATAAATAAATATATAAATAAATAAAAAATCTTTATTTCAATAGGATAATCCCATTAGTTAAAACTAACCTTCCTGAGAGTCCTCAAAATAATAATAACATATTAATAAAGTATATACAATATTATAATGACAATATTATAATGATATATACACAATATACAATTGTATATAGATATTAAAGAAAAAGCATATTGATTTGCACATTTTATGAAAAATTTGTAACATTTTGTTTTAAAAGATACAAGTGTATTACTCATCTTTATTTCTTGTGGTAAACTGTTCCATATTTGAGAACCAGAATATGTAATTGTTTTCTTCAAAAACTTAGTTTCTGGCTCCGGAAGATTTAATAATTTTTCATCAGCTGAACGTAAATTATAATTTTGATAATCAGTAAAATGAAAGTTTTCTTGTAAATAGTTAGGAACCATATCCTTCAATGATTTAAATACATTGTCAAGTATTGCCTTTTGATATTGAATTCGTTTTTCCACATTTAACCAGTTTAAACTATTTAACAATAAACTGGAGGATGTCATTTTGTCAGCTTCTACTATAACCCTAGCAGATTTCTTTAATAACTTATTTATAAGTTTATTTATTCCACTTTCATAACAACTACCCCATATACTGCAACAATAATCAAACAATGGCAGAATATAAGCATTGAAATAAATAATACTGTAATGGTATATCGTGTAGTAAGCCATCAATTAAAAGCAATTAAAACAATTAAAAATTAAGCGAAATCAAAACGGTGCGTAAACAATAAACTAAGAGCAAACAAGAAAGAAAAACCGACGACAACTACTGAATTACGGGCTCTTGACTTGGGACAGGAACATATAAAATGAGGCGGTTTAAACATGTCTGTTAGCGCACTACAATCCGCTTAACTTGGACAGTGGTGTACCAATCGCCAATGTCGGATTTAGGACAATGACTGCTCAAAACTTCACTGATATAAAACATCAGGTGCTTGTTTCTGATTGTTCTTACTATGAATAATATCTTAATCAATTTTTGTAATGATTTATGATTGCAATCATACTTGTAACATAAAACGTCTTTACGTCAGAATATTTGGACTGTCCATAAAAAGTAGATATGTTGCGTAGAAGTTTCTTCTTACAACATGCCCCATTCCGACCACTCGCAGAATTTTTCCAGAAGAGTTCTAAAGCGCGAAAAAGCGTTTAACTCTATTTAGAAGAAGAATCAGATTAATTTCACCTTCTGACTTCACCATGCTTTACGTGGTTGCATATTTACACATTTCGCACGATATTTCCGGGTATCGCCTAGACATGCGTTATAAACACGAAAGCAGGCTAGGTTCATCCTAGTCTTACTTATCCGTATATGCAAACTATAGTGTTGAAATGTTAACCGCTTCGACAGGATACCCTATTGGGTTTTTAAATATTAGAACTAAATCTTATAGTATATCTGCATTATTGTACTGAAATCTTTGTAGCATGTTCTCTGCAAATGTGAAAGGTCGTGTATTCAATACCCGACAGTATCAAACAAACGACCTAAAAATAGCGTGGCAGTCGAATCACAAAGCATGGTACATACTTATATTGTGTATACTATCAGAATATAGATTTACTGTATATTTGACACTGGAATTGAAAAAACCGTCGATCCTTCCTGAACGTATAAAAGGTGTTAATCTAAAAACAAATATATATAGACCGCTTGCTTCTGTTATAGAGCCTAGAAAAAAAAATTTCAAGAAAAAAAATCGTCCCCCTCCCTTAAATTTTACAGTAGATGACTGAAGAACAACATATCAGATTGATGTGATCTTACTGTTGCTGTTTAATCTTTTCCAAGCTTCAATCTTTGACACGGGCATCGTCATACTGAACTATTAGTTCGGTCAAGAAAGACAACTCGTACTCAAAAAAGGGAGGTAACTCAATGTTCTTATAAAGGGAAACGAGTTTATCAGTATTTCAGAGGAACATGTTGATTTTTGCACGCCAACTTGTACATGATTAATTAAATATCGGATCACAACAGGTTTTGAATGTTTGATGATCGATATCCACGCTTTAATCCAATAGTATAATAATTTGTAACTTAATAGGAAACCGAGTTTAGAATCAAATTAGAATTATTAGGGTTTTAATATAATAATTTTAATTAGTTTTTATTATACATTTTTATATATGCGTATCTATTGAAAAAATTTCTTTCTTAATCATTGAACATTTTTCTAAACATGCAAATTCTGTTAAGAAAAATAGAAGTATTTGATTTTATAAGACAAAATAAAAAAAAAAAACAGAGAAAAGAAAAAAAAAAGAAATCTGCCCACCTAAAATACTGAATTTTGCCATGTCTGGTTGAATGACTATATATATTTTGATTCTCATACAGACAATGCATTACATCGGTACAGAGAAAAATTATAAACTCATATTAACTCAATTTAACTATTAACGAACTTAGTGAAATGTTTGCTTCTTTTTTCATCTTTGAACTTCAAGATGGCGAAATGCATCTAAGTTTAAAATAGAGAACGATTTAAAACAAAATTGATTTCACTTCTTCAATACATGTGGTATACATAACTTTAGCCACTAATAAAAAATAAAATGTATTA